TCCTCTGCAAGGTGCGCATCGAGAGGGACTGGAAGGGCAGGGGAGTGGTGCATGCGTTTCCACCTATAAAGAAGTATGCCTTCTCTGTAGCGTGCGGGTTGCTCACAAGCATAGGGTCAAAAGAGGATCAAGCAAGGCTACTGGAGGAGTTGAGCACGGTGGCCAAGGGGGCCTTCCAGCTTCCCATCTATTTTTCGGGGACTAAGTACTACAGGGCGGCCAGATCCGACGACTTGCTACGGGCATAGTTGCTGAAGATGGTCCAAAGCAGGAGGAGCAATTATGTAGTAGGAGCAGAGGAAGAGGATGATCTGATGTCACATCTGATGAAGGTGAAGGATGAAGAGGGAAATTCGATGACGGACAAGCAGATTGCTGACAATGTAATCCTCTTGCTGAGTGCCGGCCATGACACCAGCAGCTCTACCATGGCCATGCTCCTCTTCCACCTCGCCCACAACCCCCATTGCTACGATCGAGTCCTACGAGGTTGCTCCCTTTTTTCTTCTCGCCTATCCCCACTGTTTTTCTCCGTGAATTGGTCCCCTTGTGTTTTTGAAAGAGGTTTGCATTTGCAGAGCAAAGGGAGATCGCAAAATCAAAGGCCCAAGGCCAGTTGCTGAACCGGGAAGACATTCAGAAGATGAAGTATTTTTGGAACGTGGTGAATTAAGTGCTGAGGCTTTCTCCTCCCATTCAAGGAACTTTAAGGTACTAAAAACAAGCAAGCAAACAAACAAACAAAATCTTTCTCTTTCGCTTTTTTACTGTATATTGCGCCATGGAGGAAGCTGCATATTGCATAAGTGCTCATTTCTAGTCTTTTTTTGGAACAATAGGAAGCCCTCAACCGACCTCACCTACGCCGGATACACCATCCCCAAGGGCTGGAAGGTATCTGCCATTTTACAACTCAAACTTGTATTTTGAATTTCCACAACCTTTTTGTGGGCCTGGGCCTGGGCCTGGCCTGATGAGTAGAAGGGGAATAATTTTTCAGCTCGGTTGGAGCATGAATTCGACCCACAAGATGGACAAGCACTTCCCAGAACCGGAAAAGTTCAACCCGGCGAGATTCGAGGAGGAGGAGGAGTCGGAGGGAGACAGCCCTCCTGCACCCTAAACCTTCGTCCCCTTTGGTGGAGGACCTAGGATGTGCCCTGGCAAAGACTTTGCTCGCATTCAGATACTCGTATTCCTTTACAACATTGTGACCAATTTCAGGTGGGAGCTCCTCTTCCCCCACGAGCTCATAAGCGTGGACCCCATGCCCACCCCCTCCAAGGGCCTCCCCATCAACCTCTACCCCCACCTCAAACACTTGAAACCATCTACTTGCAGCTGCTGCACGTTCAATTTCAAGAGCATGAGGTGTTAAGAAAATTTTTTCCTCAAATTAATTCTTTGGGAACCTTTGTAGTAAATGGAAATCACATTAACATTAATGGTTGCATTCACAGTTATATTTAGTGTGACATCGCTATTGATAGTTCCATTTCAAGTTGTAGTGACAATGACAAATATATTAAGGGTGTGTTCGTTAACATGAAGTTAGGGACGAAGAAGGAACTTCTTATTATTGTACAAAGTAAAGAACTTCCTTATTCCATTGTGCTCAAAAAAAAAAGAGTTCCATTTGATGAAACTTGAAATAGGAACTTGGTTCCTCAAACCCTATTCTACCCATAGTTAACAAATCACCGTTTAAACGGTGATTTTTTAAAAAAGTCGGTATTTTTATGGAAACAATTTTCAACGGTAACTTTTTGAAAAAGTTGGTAAAAAATCACGTAGTTTTTATAGAAACATTTAAAACACGTTTTTTTCATAATACGATTTAAATCAGATCAAAAAATCATATCTTTTTTTTACCTATATTTTTTTTTGAGTAGTTTTTTTTTTTTTTTTTTTGTGTATTGCAGATATTGCTACGTTGCTTTTGAAAAAAATTTATTATTTCAAAACAATACCTAAAATATAAACTTTTTTCCCCACGGTGTTCTTCAAAGCTACAGTTACAGATTGAAGGTATGAATTTTTTTTTCGCCTTTTTTAAAAAAACTTAAACAAATATATGCATATTTCAGTTGTTATTTTGGAAAATCATTGTGTGAATGAAATACTGTTCAAAGCGAATAATTTTGTAAGAAAATCATGTACATGCATATTTATGTGATTATTATTTTTATGAAAATACTGTTTATGGCACAAATTAGAGCTCAAAACATAGTCTTTTACTAGTGAATGAGAAGCAGAGAATGTGACTACATGACCAAGTAATCAATATTTTTGTTTTTGATTATGTGATAACAAAGATAAACAATATCGTGTAAACTGTAAATTTACCTGAGTAAGCAATTGTACATATAGGATTAGTTCCCAAAACTTAATCCTTCAACTCTGGTTGTTGTTGTCCCAAGAAAATGACGAACCCTCTTCCTTTTGTCTCTCTAAAAATTAGTTAGGGCCTCTTCACAAATCAGTATAGTTAGGGTTTTCTCTTAAACAACATCCCAAATCAGAGAGAAAAACTCTCTCCAAACTATCTCAAATCAACGTCTCATCTTCCTTTTCTCTCTCTAAAAATCGGGCCTCTTCGATTACGGTTTGTGAAGCCCATGACCTCTTCCTTCTTCATTCTTCCTTCTTCCTTCTTCTCTCTCTATAAACCCTAATGGTTATGAGAACTAGGTGTGATGTTTAAGTATTTAATGAATAAATTTATATAGTATATTTGTCACTATACCATAGTTAAAGTATTTAATGAATAAATTTATATAGTATATTTGTCACTATACCATAGTTAAAGTATTTAATGAATATTTATATAGTATATTTGTTTTTAGTATGTAATAAATAGGTGTGATGTTTTTTAAAGTATTTAATGGGTAGATTTATATGGTACATTTTTTATGGTATATACTAATTAAATATGTATTTAATATTGGGTGATTGGATGAGAGTCACGAGGTAAATAAATTAATTGATTTAATTATATTAGTGTAGTAAAGTTTTTATGGATGAATTAGTTATTGATGGCTTTGACATAAATTTTATTTTTTAGAATTTCAAAATTTCTAATATTATAAATTTATTTGATTTTTTTACCCCGATTTGTTTAGCCTAATCCGATATATTAGCGATATCTATATATGAAGTATTTTTGCCGTCTTGTATTTTTTACCCTATTTTTTCATCAGAATTTTTTAAATAAAATCGATTTGTTTCTAATTTTATGGTGAGCCAATTTATTGGTAGTCCTTGATTATGATTATA